CTCACTGCTATTGAATCAATTTGACTCGTAGTGATCTCTCCTTGGGTTCCCTAGGTGGTAGCTCTATGAAAGTAGATTGGTCAGTCTTCCTTCCAAGGAGTGGATGGTGGGTTTGTACTTCAAATGATGTTACTGATATGACTGGACAGTCAAAAAAATTAGGAATCCTTCCTATAGTAAAGCCACTAACAGATCTATGACCATCAAAAACCCAAAAGTAGATGAGATAATCTCTGTACAACTCTAGAATAAAGAAAGGAAGGACAAATACAGAACTGAGGGAAAGATAAGCATCCTTAATGACAAAGAGAGAAACATGATCCAGCATTAAAGACTGAGATGGAACAGTTAGGAAGACAGAAGTAAGCAGTGTTATTTAGAAACTAGAGGTGAGAAACTTTCAATAATCCCAAACACTACAGCTTGGGCAGGAATATAATGCAATTTCCTTAAGAGTTAGCATTTACAGTTTGGTTGTGACTTTAGTGAGGGAGAAGTTTCAGTGAAATGGTGGGGGCTGAAAAATAATAACTGGGAGGGAACCAGATAGAACCATTTCCAATCTAATGTTTCCCTTAACATTTTTCCCTTCTTAACCTTTTAAGGTTAATATCCCTTAAAAGGATTTCCTGATGTCATGGACACTTAAGCTTCAGCCATCTTTGTTTACTATCCATTCTCTGATTAAGTCTTCCTCTTTCAAGCTTCCAGGACTTTATTCCTGGAATAAAATTTATGTGGTTTCCTCAGACAACTGACATTCCACATGATCTCTGCCTATTAAACTCCTACTTATCCTGCAAAGTTCATCTGAAATTATACTCTCTTTGAGAAATCTTTCTCTCTTTCTTCTACTCAATATTCACTTCCTTTGCTATATTCCCACATAATATAGTAAAGCCATATTCTTTTATAAAGCTTATCACAGCTTGACTTGCACTCTAGTAGTACTGTGTCTTTCTTCCCTACTCTATTATGAGCTTATTGTCAGGAGCTACTTCTAATATCTGCATCCCCACTTGGTTCACATCTTGTGCTCCCTCACACCTTTTGTCTTATACAATGCCCCGTATCCTATAAGTACTTAATAAAGGTTGAAGAAAATTGACATTTTAACAAGTAAGTTTATAGTGGGTATCTAGGTCAGTTTTCTATGAGGAATTTAAAAGATGTATAACATGATCCCTAACTTAAGGATATTTAATCAAGATGTACAGTAAAAAGGATAGATAAGTTTCACTTAATTGTCAAATGTTTTATGATGACAAGTAAATACATGTGGGCCAGAAAGACGAAAACTCAATTTGATTTAGAGGACCTGAGAAAGTCTTGATAGGAGAAATCAGATTGAGCTTAAGGATAGTAGGATTGGAGTGGAAAAAGGGAAAAGGTGTTCTAGATGAGGAAACACTGTGAGCATGTGAGCAAGTTCCTTTAGTCCAGGCTGGACCTAGTACACAGAGGAACAATGAAGTGCATGGCCAAGAGCCCTGAGCTAGAGGAAGAAAGCAAGGGGACAGATAAGACACAGGCAGAGTGTGGAGTAAATGAAATACCAAAACAGGGAAAATAGATTTTATTTGAAAAATCATGAAAGACGTTAAAAATTCTTGAGCACAGAGATATCATTTATTTCATTTATTCAAGAAATATTTTTTGAGCACTCTGAAGGGCTAGATACTACTCAATGTGTTGGGAATACAATAATGAACAAACCAGAGACAGTTCCTCCCCTCTTAAATCTATACTAATAGGGATTGTAGAGTGAGGATGATGGATTATACATGTACCAACAAACTCATATATAGTATGTTGAGAAGTGATTAGTGGTATAAAGAAAAAAAAAGGAGAAACAATTAAGGTCAACAGAAAAGGTAAGAGAACAAGTTCAGTAATTCATTGGGACTAAACAGTAGTATCAGTTTTTCCAGTGAGGGCTTGAAAAACATGGGGACAGATTCAATCCACAGAGTAAAGGAGTCAGTTACCCTGGGTGGACTCAACACACCTTTTCATCTTTTCTTTCAAATCCTAATTATTTTTCATAAACCACCTTAATCCTACTTCCTCTAAAATGTGGTCAATCCAGGCTGAGTCTTTTTTCTGCCCATTTTGCATTTTATGCACAAAGTGATGGAAAGGATTTTAAAATTAGATGTTAGTTACATAACAAGCAGCAAGACAATTATCACAGACTTTAGTGAGGGTTATCTGCTTTAACCACAGAGTCTTACAGAGCATATTTAATTAATGCCACAAGATTTCTATGTTTTGGAGACTGGATCTCCCCACAGTAATACACTGATGTCAATTCAAGAAAGTCCCTGTAGGATTGGATGGAAAATGAACTTTGCACTGTAATTACAGTCACTGATCTATTAGTAGTCTACTACTTTTCATTCTTACAATGATTTTCATTCTTTTAATTCCAAATGCTCTAGAGAACAAGATTTATATTCAGAAATTCTATTAGCCCTACACCAGAAGACATGTAACAAGCTGTTACAAACCATTCTCAGAGAAACCCAGGTAAGAGAAATGTTCTAATTTATTTTTATATCTCCTTTCACTATTGACATCCATACATACTTATTTCTCAAAATTTATTATTTTCATTATTCTTAGATTTCAACTCATTAGTTATTTTTCTAGCTATTCTCTGAATTGAAAACTGTGAAGAGCTAGAATGCCACACGATACTGCAATTCATCCTGACCTTTTCTGACTATAAGGTAAAATTTCAAAACATAAAGGTAAGGTCACAAAATAAATCAGATACGTATACTTAATGTTATTTCTAATTTAGTTGAATAATTAGATGGTTTATTTTTAGTATTTTTAAATAAATGATTAAATAAAATGTTCAGTCAGTCTTCTTTTCATGTTTATGGAAAAACTAATTTCAATACCATGGAAAAATAAATTCATTTTGATCGAAGAATTGACATGATTAGCATCTTCTGTTGAAAAGTCCTTCTGCTATCACAGAAGCAGAACAAAATTTGTTCCCTAAAATCCTAAGAATATTGCAAGGGTGTTCTCTTTTTCTAAGGAGCCCTGGTGGCGTAGTGCTTAAGGCATTTGGCTACTGACCAAAAGGTCGGTGGTTTAAACCTACCAGCCACTCCATGAGAGACACATGAGGCAGTCTGCTTCTATAAAGATTTACAGCCATGGAAACCAAATGGAGGTCACTGTGAGTCAAAATCAGCTCCATAGCAGTGAGTTTGGTTTGGGTCTCTTTTTTTAACTGTTAGAAAACTAAAGTATAAAGGCAAGCTTACTTTAATTTATTAACTTATAAGCTCTTGTGACATGATTTAAATTTTTTTATAGTTTTATGTGGAAACAGGAACATAGTAGAGAAGATTGTACACAAGGATTAATGTAATTGGTGTCACTAAATTGTACAGTTGAATAATCTTGATTTGGGAAGTCTTCTTTTCATATATTTTCACAAAATTTTTAAAATATCAATTCAAATAATAGAAATACATCAATTTTTTTTTCAGATAAAGATTTTTGAATAATTTCTTCAAAGGAAGTAATCTCAATTTGCCGAGGTCAAAGAGATTGCTTAGGATCCTTGGTAGAATACTGAAAACAAGTTCACCTATCCCAGGTGATCAGAATGGAGCTGATATTTGAATCAATTTTTCCTTTTTTACCATAGCATATTATAGCTCCTTTCACAGAAATATGTCACAGTTAGTTTCAAAATTCTTACATTCTACTAAAGAAATTGTGCATGCACACACAAGAAAAAACAATGTAATTAAAATATGAGAAATTCTAGATTATATATACAATACATACATATGCTTAAGGCTCCAAAAATGGAGAGCAGTGTCATCTGAGTTATTTAATTAAAACATGATTAAGTACCATTATATGTAAACTATGCCTTAAATAAAAGATTGAAAGGATACAAATATTTAGTCAGAGTGCCAAATATCTATATTTGGAATAAAGACCTGTAAGAAATAATAGCATAGGCAATCAATGTTTATGGAAATGACTGAGGGTGGGGATGAGGGAACTGAACAATGAGTAGAAACAGTGAGAAAGCCAAAAGAGCTATTGGTAAATATGGCAGATGAGGATGGAGGTGGATCAGGTTACAGAGAACTTTAAATGTCATTCTAAAGAATTTGTTTATCTTAGAGACAATAAATAAATGAAGTCTTGGCAGTAGAGTGTTGCTTCTGGCAATATCACTAAGCGATGGCCACTGCACTCCACCAAAGATAAATGGATCTGGAAACTGTACACCTGGTTGTTCAAGAGAAATTTGAAGGGATAATTAGACACAATATGAAAATTAGAATCTTATCTCTCTATTATTCCTATCTCAACAGAGAAAGAAGAGATGACAGAGGACAATCACTCCTTCACAACTGAGTTTATCCTCACAGGATTTATGGATCACCCAGATAAGAAGACTCTTCTGTTCATGGTGTTCTTTACTATCTATCTGATCACCATGGTGGGGAAACTTGGTTTGGTGGCATTGATTTTCATGGAACGCCATCTTCACACACCCATGTACATCTTTCTGGGCAACCTGGCTCTGATGGATTCCTGCTGTTCCTGTGCCATTAACCCCAAGATGTTAGAGAACTTCTTTTCTGAGGACAGAACTATTTCTCTCTATGAATGCATGGCACAATTTTATTTTTTTTGCCTTGCTGATACTGTGGACTGCTTTCTCCTGGCAGCAATGGCTTATGATCGCTATGTGGCAATATGCAGTCCACTGCAGTACCACACCATGATGTCGAAGCAACTCTGCATTCAGATGATCATAGGGGCTTACATAGCTGGGAACCTGCATTCCATTATCCATGTAGTACTTCTATTAAGGTTAACATTCTGTGGATCTCATCAAATCAATCACTTTTATTGTGATGTTCTTCCTTTATATAGACTCTCTTGTGTTGATCCTTATATCAATCAACTGATGATACTTATCTTTGCAGGATCAATTCAAATCTCCACTATTACCATAGTCTTAATATCTTATCTTTGCATCCTTTTCACAATTTTCAAAATGAAATCCAAAAAGGGAAGAGGAAAAGCCTTATCTACTTGTGCATCTCACTTTCTCTCTATCTTGATATTCTACGGTTCTCTTCTGTTCATATACATTTGGCCACATTCAGTCAAAGAAGAGGATAACGATATACCAGTTGCTATTTTTTATACTCTAGTAATTCCTTTGTTAAACCCTTTTATCTATAGTCTAAGGAATAAGGCAGTAATAAATGCTATGAAAAGAATTATGAAGAGAAAACCTCATAACATTCTGAAACAAATATCCCCTATGACAAATCGATTTTAATTAGATAAATTTTTCAAAGTCAAGCATACTGAGAAATTGGGTGCTTTGTACATCAAATATTACATTACCAAACCATGATTATTTTAAAATCAAATAACTTATAAATGATTAAAAAAATTCAGAAAGAGGCAATTCTGATAAAATATATTTTGAACTCTACAATGCTAGGTGCTAAGGTCACAAATTGTGTCAGAGTGGATATAGCTACAATTTTCAACATATCCAACAAATCCTAGGAATGAAAAGTGGTTTATAAAGGTAGCCTCCATTTATTGTTGGAATTTGTGGAATCTCCAAGAATAATCTTACAAACACACACACATTTCAAGTTCTGATATATTGTCACAATAAATTGTGCATTTGAATTTGATTTTCAACTTTCTTTGTGTTGTTCAAGAGTTTATATTTGACTACAGTTTTATACAGAATATGCATTCTTAAATCAAGAACAGTTTTATTTTTAGTGTTAGTCATTTTTCTTATCAAGCTCTCTGAATAGAGTGTATGATGGTCATTTATCAATCTTTAGTTGAAAATATTGCTATATTGAAAGCCCTATGGAAATAACAGATGTTTAAGGGTGGAGATAAAATGATTTGAAGGCAAACATTAATAAAAGTGTGAGCAGAATCAATGTTTGTATAAATGAGTGTGACAATGTGGGTAGGAAATATGGAGGGGAAGATATGTGTAGAAAACTGGCAGAGCTACTGGGGACAGCTGTTGGTGAGTATGGAAAATAAGGCTGGAAATGGATCTATTTAGTGAGAATTTCCATATTAGGGCATTTTCCATATTAGGGAATCTGAATTTCCTTAGAGGCATCAAACACTGACATCTTCCTTATGGCAGAGTAATATGATTTCTTTTAAAATTTTGGCATGGCATTTGATTGGAAAGAGAGGCTAGAAGCAATGAGAGTAGCTGTAATAATTCAAATATTGGGTGATAAGAGCTGAAACTAAAGACCATCCTGAGAAAGGGAAGGTGCATGGATATAAACAATACTTTAAAGAAGAACAATAGAAAATTGTAACTGCTGGATAATGAAATCAAAGCCAATCACCTTTAAACTAACTAACAGTTTAGCTCAAAGAATAAAGATTGTCACCATTGAATATTGTGTTTATAAAAAAAATTTAAAAAAAACACTATATAAGGCCACCTATTTTAAAACAACATTTTAAAGCATAGGAAAAAATTATCAAAATCTGTTATTTTCTTGACTATCAACCATGTCATATCTTATTTAATATTACCAGGACTTAATACAATGCCTGACATAGTTGGGCATTCAACAAACATTTCCTGACTACATGATGTGGGTTTTTTTTTATTATTTTTTATTACTAGCAAATTTAAGTATTTCTCATATATTTATTTACCATTTACATTTTTTTCTGAAAAACACCTACTCATGTCCTTTGCCTACTCTTTCAGAGATCCTTGTCATTTTTCTTGTTATTTATATATACATTTTAAATGAAAAGTCTTTAGACTTTTACCTGTATTTGTAGTACATTTTTTGTCAATAATTCACATGCGTTCTAAATTTGGTTATGATGTTTTGTGATATACAGAAATTTTCATTTTAAGGTCTCAATTCTGTTGATTTCTCCCTTTGTAATTTCTTTTATTCTTTTCCGACTTAAAACTTACTAATCTGAAACCTCATCATGATTGGCATTTTTTGATACTTCAATTTTTTTATATTTAATTATTGAATTACTCTGGGATATGTTTTTGGTGAGTGACCTAATGTAAGTATCTAAACTTATTTAGAATTTAAGAAAAATTACGTGAGAGTATAATATTATTCCAAACAAAATATTAGAATAATCACTAAATGAAGTTGGTAAAGAAGTTCTAAAATTTATCCTAAAGATAAGCCAAGAAGATATTGAGAGTGAC